TAGATAGATAGATAGATAGATAGATAGATAGATAGATAGATAGATAGATAGATAGATAGATAGATAGATAGATAGATAGATAGATAGATAGATAGATAATATAACTCAAACAGAAACAATGTTGTGCAACTTCAAATTTAATTTTAATGTAATTTAAAAAAAAATGCTTATGTCATCTCTATGTAGTTAGTAATCTCTACTCCCCCCCCCCCCCAAAAAAAACAAAACAAAATACCGCAGGTTTTTTTAAACCACTATTCTAGTGGTAACTACATTAACTACAAACGTACACTTTACTCAAATGCACTGATGATCTCATGAGTCAGATCCAAACTTAGCAAACTTACATTAATATAGACAACAGCTATCGACAGATGTGAAAATCAAAGATGCAGACATTGTATGACATATTTACTTACTTATAATTACTTTTTAAATAAATAAACTTAGATATATCACTTTTATCCACAAAGTGCAGTTTGATTTTTAAATGTGACTTTAGTTAAGTACATCTGTTATAATTTAACACAGACAACATATGCTAATATAGGTGCTTTTATTATTATTATTTTTGTTGATTTTGTTTTGTTTTTTGTTACAGGCTTGCTTTATTGCACATATAATGTAATGTGCCTCTACAGTTCTGCAATGTAGCTGGAAATACGTGAGCTGCATTATGGCAGGCAATATGTGAGCAGAAAGAAAAAGACTGCTATATACACCGTGTAGCCTCCTCAGATTCTAATCTGAGCAGAGGACTGGTTCGCCGGTCACCAGTCAGTATCTTATTCAATGTAATAAGATACACCGAAGAAGATATTCAGTGCATCAGACACTGTATACTCATATCTTTATAGAAAGCCCGGTGAGCAGTACATTAAGATTTTCAGTAAAATCATTAATTGCCAGTCATGGCCTTTAACATTTATATTTTGTGTCAATGCTAAAAACACGAAGCATTCATGAGATTGTACCAGTGGGTGTTTGAAGGGGCTTTTTAAAGCCTGGAGGTTGCATTTGCTCCCACTTTAATCAGCTACTTTGAGCCTAATAGAGAGCAGCTGAAGCTCTGCGTGAGCCTTCTTGAAATAGCTGCTAGAAACTCAGTTCTTGCCTCGCTTTGTACCTCATTTTCTCAGCCTTTGCTGACGCATACAGTGCAATAGCTGCTAAGGCCACAATTACGTGAGCATGTTGCAAGTAAATGATCTGTACCTTAAGATACTACTGCACTTGTTTAAACATTTTAACTCTTTGTTGCCACTTGTTAGAAGGCAACACAATTATTAAAGGGATTTTAAGTTCAGTTTTTCGGCTCTGAGGGTGCGTTGTATTTTTGTGTCAGATTAAATATATTCTGTTCTTTGCAATACATGTTTTTGCAGAGTATTACAGCGAGGAGGGAAAACCCTTTGAATTGCGTCTGGTTGGAAAAATAAAGCAGCAGTTGAGCACTGATCCCACTCTTCATCCTGAGTATCCCTCTTCTCTTGGACTGAGAGAATTCACCAGGAAAGCCACAGAAGTTGCCCTTGGGAAGCATTCTAGGGCTATAGTGGAGAACCAGGTAATGTCAGCTACACACAGACAGCTCAACTCATTTGAACCTCGTTTTGCACAAAACAAAAACTAGGATTGATCATGCAGTCAGTCAGCACCGTCATTACTCGGAAAGACGTTATTTGCAGTTACTATAAGTAACTGCAGAATAAATCAATAGAAGATCAGCAAGCAAACATCATTTATATCAAAAAACTCTGCTGCTGGTATTTCCTGGCTTTCGCTGCAGGTGTTAGGTGTCCAAACTCCTGGTTTTACTGCTGCTGTTCGTCTTGGAGCTGAACTCTTGAGGTGCTGGTACGATCTCAGTGCTGACTGGTGTGGCCCGGTTTACCTCTCTTCCCCCTGTGATGGTAAATAAAAAACAGCTTCTACTGAACAACATTTAAAGTGGAACAATTATGCCCATTTCCAGTTACATAATTGTATTTTTGGACTCTTCTAAAGTTGCCTTGCATAATACACAGTTCAAAACAAATCTTATGTATCTTCTTCTGGGCCGGGGTGTAGGGCTTTATTTTTTATATATATATATATGTATATGTATATATATATATATATATATATATACACACCAATAATTACAAAAGAGTATGTCTTGTAAACAATCAGCGCTGTTTCCATAGCAACACAAGATTTTGAAAATGAATACATAAAGGAGACAAAATGTCAAGGATTCCACATCATTAGATAAATATCTGTCACAGAAAAATGCCCGCATGGAGCTCTGTGACTTATATCTTTATTTAATTGTGAAAAATAAGAAAAATAGTGAATAATAATGGTGGTAACATAAAACCACAGTCATCTAAGATGATCCACAACACTTGCGACAATGTTCAATGGACAGATGAGCCAAAATATGCTGTCTTTGGAGGAACACTCCAACACCAAAACCTCATCCCAGCCGTTAAGCATAGACTCATAAAACACTTCTTCCCAAAATGCTGACTTTTAAGTTATTTGATTATTTTCCGTGTAATTTTGTCACAGAAGTAGAATTGAAAATGTAAGCTTTAATGGAATCTGGTCAAATTTTACAGGAGAATGATTGAAAGCAGATGCATAAATAAAGGACATAAAATTCATTCAACTTAATGGCTGTGTCATGGCCTGAAACCTTTTTGTAAGGATAATTGGTTCCAAATTCCTCTACAGCAATCCCCCGACTTTTGCTGCCATAAGTGAGTCCACGAGTTACTGAACCGAGCCTTACTTTTTTCAGTCTGAGCTGTGAGTGATTACTCATTGTGTTTAATAAAGATATGAAACTGCTTGCCTTGTATTACACTGATTAAGTTAGGCTCCATTGGTCACTAGTTATTACTTAGATGAAGATCAGACCACATTTTTTGAGTAATTAATTCATAAATCCTGGTTCACATACTTTTCTTGTGAGTGTACATGCTGCGGACAAAAGTGTCATTGATCTTTAGGGGTTGGTACTGCTTTTATATCTAATAAGCCAATATAATGTTTTGTCTTGATCCTCCCTGCAGACTCATTGGCTGGTATCTTCCAGGCAGCAGGGATCCAAGAGATCCGTGAGTATTATTACTGGGATGACAAGCAGCGGGGCATTTGTTTGGAGAGGCTTCTGGAGGATTTGGAGAGTGCTCCTGAGCAAAGTGTTGTTGTTCTGTCAGCGTCTGCCCACTACCCGACCGGAGCAGACCTCTCTCAGAGTCAATGGGCTGTGATTACACGGCTCATTACGGTAACTAACTTGTGCATTTATGCTCTCCGACAGAAGCTGAAATTATTTTTATCAGACAAGCAGCTTTTCACTCATACTTAATTTAATTTGCTCTCCTGGCACTGTTTTTCAACAGAGCCGTAGACTTTTCCCCTTCCTCTTGCTGCCTTCACAGGCACTCTGCTGTGGAGACATGGAGCGTGATGCTTGGCCTGTGCAGCACTGTGCATCGCTGGGAATGGAGCTTCTCTGCGCTCAGTCATTTTCCCATTGCTTTGGACTATATGGTGAGAACGTATGTGCACTGAAGGGGCCACACCTATCAAAATGTGCTTATTGCACAAACGAACACTGCACTCTGCGGTGAGAAAACAACTGCGCTGCCTGGAGCTGATACAAGTCAGTTTGAACTCTTTCTTTTCTGAATGAACCGACTCAAGGTAATTGACAAGAGCACCTCTTTACTTATCTTTGAACCATAATCGTCATCAGAAAAAGGCAGACTTCAGTAGCCATAGAGAGGAAAAATATTTAAAGGCCAAGCTTTACTATGCTGAGTGCATGAGATCAAATTTATCCAGTGTGCTCCAGGGACTGTGGATTGTTGCTGCATTCCCTGACTTTTTCTTCACCTAACCTGTCAGAAGAGCACACTCTCCGTGTTGTGTGAGTTGAAGAAGTGAGTAAGAATATAAATAAATAAGAAACAAAAAAGGGAAAAAATTGCTGTTGTTGCACTTGCAGCCTTCGCACTTGGAGAGAGTTGGCGCTTGTTTGCAACATTAAACTTTATTTCTGGTTTTAATATAATTTGACTAAAACGTAAAAATGCAGAGGTTAACACATTGGCTTACATGTGAAGGAGGGAGGAGAAAAACAAAACAGCCTCAGGGGGTCACAAGCTAGTGTACTCCTTGTGCCGGTCCCACGCTCAGATAAATGGGAGGGTTGCATCCGGTTTCAAATCTGTGCTAAATCAAACTTGCGGATCCATCTGCTGCGGCGACCCCTTGGGAAATAAGGGAGCAGCTGAAAGTACCTGTGAAAAATAAAAATGCATATGTCCTCATTAGAGTCTTTTGCAAATCATGTTTCCAGGGGAGTTCATGTTTTTAGAAAGGGCTCCTCTGATCTTCGTAATTGGCTCTGGGATGAAATGTCGAAAATGAAATGTGCTGTTTTTCTGCGCTCATCTTTTAAACACAAGTTAGAAAGAATCAAAAAAGTGGCAACTAAACCTGCTTCATGTGCATCTAAAAGCATCTTTGCAATCTTTCATTTGTGACCCAGTGAATATTTACCAGAAAAAATGGAAAAACCTGACAGGCTTGCGGTGTATACTGATGCAAAGCATTTCTTTTCAGCAGAGCATAACGTTACTTCACTGCTGCTGGGACATTCTGTAGATTTCTTCACGCTGAGCTCATATTGTTTCCTTCACCAGGTGAAGCTGTTGGACACCTCCTGTGCGTCTTAAAGCAGAACTCCGTCCTGCTGCCCGTGCGGTCTCAGGCTGACAAAATAGTGAGATCACTGTGGGCCAGGCCATCCGTAGGAGGAGCACATGTTGTCACCACAGTGCTCAGTAACTCAGCCCATCTTGTTGAGTGGTGAGACATGCTGCAAATGATCTGGCATTTGAAGAATTTGGCCCGGACATTAGCTGTTGCTGTTTTATCAGTACATGTGTTGTATGTCTCTTGATGTTATGCATACACGCCCCTTTCCACCCTCATTTTTCATAGTGCAGATATTGAATTATATATATATTTTTCTCACTGTGTTCCCCAGGCAGGGAGAGGTTAAGCACATTGTTGAAAGGTGTATGCTGATCAGAGCCATTTTAAGAGAAAAGCTGAGGCTTTTGGGAACTCCTGGTCGCTGGGACCATCTGACTCAACAAGGTGGACTCTTTTGCTGCACAGGGTTAAATGGTAAAAACTGAAAAGCACTGTTTCAGCCCTCCTCTCAATTTTTTTTAGAATTATGTTTCTCACAATCTAGAAGGAGAAATGATTCACTGCATCAGCCTCGAACAAGGACAACATAAATGCTGTCTGATGTTCATAATTAGTTTTCTCAGCTCTTGCTTTGCCGCGATTCTCTGGAAGATCCTTTGAAACAGCTAATTGGCATTTGCAACACAATTTTTTAATGTATTCATAAAGTTTATCAGTGTCTGATGCGCTTATTCAATCGCACACATTATGCACACATATGGCTTATACGAAGGCCAACACCCTGATCAGTCTACATTGAATTGCTGTTTGTGATTTTAGTTTGGTTCAAAAAATATAACTTGAAAACTTAACTGCTGAAGATATATTTTATGTAGCATTCATGTTTTAAACAGAGCTTTTCTTCACATGACAATAACATAGGTTGATACGCTGATGAGCTTTCATGTTTTTGCTTTTTTGTGACTGTTTTTTGGCCTTTTTAGGTGAGCAAGTAGAATTTCTGTCAAACAGGAGACGGGTGTACCTGCTTCCCGGCGGATGTCTAAACGTGAGCGCAATCAACTGCCGCAACCTGGACTATATAGCCGAGTCCATCCATTTGGCTCTGACCTCTTCACTCTGACCACGCAGCTTTTATCAGCATCCAAAATCTGTGGGCTTCACAATGAGTTTGGACCTTTCAAGTGTTTCATTAAAATGTTCCTTTTTAAGTTAAGTGTAATTATGATGTTACTTAAAAAAGGGATGTTTATGTTTCCAGTGCTCTGTTGGGTCAGCCATATCAGGAGATCTGCTGGAAGCTGTGGAGTGATTTTCCTGTTCAGTCTGTTTACATTAAGAGTTGATTGAGGCGTATATTTATATATTCTCACTTTACATATACGGAATGTGAACAGAAGGTAGTGTAGAAAACAAATTACTTTTTTTCCTTTTTATGGAAGATGTTTGCAGAAATTGTTTCTACACCTCAGTAAAAAATAGATTCATAAACAAATAAAAAAGAGTTAGTCACCGAGAGCTGCTAGACAGACTTTGTGTGTTTTGGACTTCTAGGGTAGCTTTTTGCCTTTAGTTCAATCATAATTACTAGCTGACAGCTGGCAGCAGTTCATCTTTAATGAAAAAATATTAGATTTATAGCCTTCTCAACTGAACATGATTATGAAAGTGTCTGGATATGAAGTGTTTACCTAATGTTATTGATAAATAAAATTTTTGTTAACCCTCAAAGTCAATGTACTGCTAACCTTGGACCCTAATTTGTGATTTTTGGCTTTTAAAAATGGTTCTCACACATATTAGGAGCTCAAGCTCATACAATTTGGCTAATATTGCCTTACTTACTTACTTAACAGTTGCATGACAAAGGTAAATGTGAATACACTGGTGCACAGAACCAACATAGTTTTACAATTATCATAAGTCAGGTAATATGAAATATATCGATTTACTTTTGATGAAATGCACTCTTTGATAAATTAAGTCACTCAGAAACTCATCATCACCATTTGAGGCGTACATATCACATGTGGCCAAGAGGTAAAATTTACACAACCCCATTATATAGTTTAGCAGTGGCTCCATAGTGTAGCGTCAATGTCAGTGTCACTTTTATTTATGTACGTTTAAAAGGTTTTTACATGTACACTTAAAAACCTGCGTAGGTCTACAATGACGTAAAGGCAATAATAATAAAATGTTACAGAGAAATACAAATCAATGCTCACACACAGACCTGTGAGACGGTTGTCATTGACCTCAGATCAGCAGACAGCTCGTTCCAAAGAACAGGAACACAGCAACTTTAAGCATCCTCAGCACACTGGGATCTAATTCTGAGATAGTTAAAAGATGTGCATCTGATGACCTGAGAGGTCTAATTGGATTATAGACACTGAGCAAGTTACAGATGTACTGTTTTAATCAGTTTTATTAGACCGAAAAGGATCCGAGCTGTTCTCCCCATCATGGTTTCCGTGCTAATGTACTAAAGAAATTGTTAGTTGTTGTTGGCCAAGGTGGTTAGCAAGAGCTAATGATGCTGAATCACTGAAGATGTTTTACTTGCTAATGCTAGCTGTGTTTCTGTATGAAGCGTAGATTGTAACTGATCCCAGAGCAGTGAAAGCAGACTGGCAGCAGCTTGCCTCACATGCTGATCTCCCATTAGTTTACATTCATAGACCTGCAGTTTAGGCACACTCCCCCCTGTTTAGATGTTATGCCGTCACGTGACGTGATTTAGACACTTTGGGGGTTGTTAAGTTGTTTACATATCAATTACATTTTCACCAGTTGTTTTTGCTGTTGAGAATTTTAATTATAACTTTTGTATTATGGTTTCTCAACAGTACTTGTTTGTTTTGATTAGTTTACTGTGTTTTTAAAAAAAAGATTTTTCTAAAAAATAAATAAATAAAAAATTGATAACTGTAAACCACCACGGCAGACCCGATGGCATTTTCATGCATCGCAGCATCATTTATTCTTACAATAGTCACACAGTTGCTGTAACACCACATTCAGCGGCTGCAGCTCTCCCGCTGCCAGTAATAATAATGCTAATATTGAAAAAGGAAACATCACAAAAAACATTTAAGGTCATGAAAATTAATTGAGATTTAGCAGTTCAATGACGCATCCAGCTTATTTATTGAAAAGTATCGGTATCAGTGACACTGACTCATATTTACTTGGTATCGGATCGATACCAAAATATGCAGTATCCCACACCACTAGTTAACAGCACATGGCCACGCCCTCAAAATAGCTGCAGTTTTCTGTGAGATTGAAACAAGCACAGCTTTCAGCGACAGCATGGCCACAAGATGGCAATAATGTGAAGGATGGATAAATATATTCATTGCAGATGAGAAGCTGTGCTGTCTAAGGACAGGATTACTTTGCTTTTTGACTTTATTAATTTGCCAAACAAAATGCCAGGTTTCCTGCCTTATCCACTGTTTTCAGATGAAGGAATAGTAAGTATGAACAAATTTACTTTTGCAGACTTTTTGGACTATGTCCTTGTCTCTGTCCAGTTCTAAAAGGCTTCTAGCTATCCAGCAGTCAATCAATGCTGCTTATTAATTTGTGAACAGGGGTTTTGATCATCAGAGGAAAATATTACTGCGTATCATCTGCATAAAAAGGTAGGATATTTTACAAATATTTATCATACTGCAACATGGGAGCTGGAGCTAGGGTTTAAAAATCAAAAATCATGAAGTGAAAGATCTCCAGTTGAAGCCTTGGGTGACACATAATTCCCTTCAGGTCTGTGTCAGGAAGATCATCTGATATAAAGTAAATCTGCCAAATCAAACACGCAGCAACATACAACAACCTGCAGGCTTGACCCCTTGTGAATAATTAAGTCAGCTTGAAACTTTCCTGACACCCCCCTCTCTGTTTTACCAACTTTGTTTTCTCCTTCTTCCTTTTTTCTTCTCCCCCAGGGCATTTTTTATTTACAAATAACTGGAGATTGTACTTTTATCTGTCCAGGATCCCAAATTCCAATGTAGACTTAGTCCCTAGACAATAAATTCTAGATGTTCTGGCAACATTCGCTACATTATAGTTGTCAGTATCAACAGTGGTACTAAACATAATGGTAATTATGAATATTTATCTATTTATGAACTTCAAGCATGTGTAGTGGTGCGAGTCTATATCCCACTAAATCCCCGAACTGTCATAATGTCACATCCTTAGACCTAATTTTTCAAGATGGGCATTCATTATGTTATCATATCCTTAAAAATGAAATTATTATTGTGTTAGCACAGAAGTGTTTTCCCCATAACATTAAAGTGCCTCTATAATTCTAATCAATTAAGTAATTCTTATGCTGTAAGACCATCATTTTGGTATCATATGTGACTTACAGTTGAATTGTTGTAGCACTTTTTTTCACCCAAACATACATTTTTGGTTACTTTTTTTTAAAATAAAGGACAATTAAGATCTCTTTTAAGGTCTTTTAACTTATCTATAAACTCTAGTTTTTATAACATACATGGTACAATGTTTTACTGTGGCTTAATTTATGCTGTAAGTAACAACACTATGTTCTATAATATGATCACCAGTCACTCAGCAGGGCTTAATTGAGAGCTTGTGGATTAACGGTTAACCTTTCATATTTACTGAAAGCACTCCTGCTTCGTGAATTCACTGCAGCTACTGTGAACATCATTCAGACAAAATACTCTGAATTGTGCTGATAAACATGCTGTAGACTCAGCAGATTTCAGCTGCCTTTATTATTCACCAAGGCTGAACAACCCTGACTGCTGTGACAAGCATCTGCACTTCACTCAATAGGTTCGGATGTACCATTGTGCACCATATTTCCATAAACAACCTTGAAGGTTGTTTGGCCACTGCTCTCAGGACACGACTGCACGATCAAGAACTGAATTGATATCCGACTGCTAACAAGAAAGATACGATTAGACAAATGAGGAGCTTTTATCCAACTAACATCGTGTTCTTCTGAGAAGCGCTGTTGTCATTTGTGAAATTGAAATGTAAAATATCAAACTACTTTTCTCAATGCTACAGGTAAGAGAATTTTTCTGTATTGTGTCTGTGTTTATGTTGGATCATTCAGGTCCTCTACCTGACATGGTTCGATTTTTTTAAGCATCTCCTTTTTCTTCAATTAAGAAACATTTCCACTTAGAAATGAGTGGTATTTTCTTCTTTGGTTATGAAAAACATGTCTTTTTTTCTTTCTTTTCTCTTTTTTTAGGAAAACACATGGCTTTTATCCAACTAACTTTATATCCTCAGGGGCCCTATTTTCATTTGTGAGATATGCCATTATTGTGCGTGTTGTTCAGTTCTGAGTAACAGGTTACAACAAGGTATTTAATGGAGGCAGTGTGCTAGCTCTTTTCATTTCGGTGACCCTGAGAGAACAGCGAGGATAATCAACATGCACCACCATCACAGAGTCTGAGCCATTAAATCCTATCTAGACCTCTTTGATTTGTATCTGACCATTTTTGCATGTACACAGTGTTGCAGATATTTACTCCTATCAGGGGTTTCAGGTTTTTGTTAGTAATAGGTTACAGGCATCGTTATAGTATGCTTGCAGTTATCCAGACAATCCTGAATAAAGAGCATTACTGTAAATCTGACAGTTGCACAGAGTAAACAGAAGAAGGTATTTTTTCCTTCCATCTAATTTTTAATAGAAATCACTCAGGTTTTTAACAGGTGGAACTTCAGGATTTATTAATTGTTTGTTCTGGACAGCCCTGCCTTTTGTCTAAGAGAGTAAAAAACATTAATTGGTGCTTCTTTATAGAAAGACAACCTTTATGAAAGGTTTGCAAAGTGATTTATGAATGCAGATTCATCCAACTTTTCCTTATCCAATTCAGAGTCACAGTGGAGATTTATATATAAAAATTCATCTGTAAATCCCTCTTACACTGTTTGTGCTTTGTTTTATAGACACGTGCAGTTCATTTATATTGCAAAAGGAACTCATTATGGGCCTGATATGTATTATCAAACAATATTGTTGCACCAGGATAAGCCTGATTACTGAGCTGTCCACATTACGCTGATTATTATCCTTGTGGGTTTCATAAAACAGAGAAAATTGCCATTATCTTGTGAAGATAATCATGTCAAATAGAAAAGTCTTGGACTTTTGTATTAGTAGTAACTTTAAGTCATCACTGAGCAG